GCGCCGAAGGGGAAACAGGGGAACTGAATTCACCGGAACACCGGCATTGTCGGCTACTCTCCCAGGAAACAGTCCTCGTCCTCCGTAAAATGCGTTGCACACATCTGAATATTTGGGTTGATCTGTTCTGGAACAGTGTTGTAAATACAACTTAACCACTGATTTCTAGTCGTGTCTTCTTTTGGAAGGCCAAACAAAGTATTTTCGCTTTTGCAACGAAACGAACACAGCGTCTTCACAACATGGCGGCGGCGGTGTCAGCAACAATAACGTTACGCCATCTTTCTTTGCGTGAACATTTGGGCGGCGTTATGCAAATCTTCTCACATAGTGAGGTAGATATGTGGGGGCGTGTTTAAACGAGGCGTTTTAGGAGGGCGTGGACCAGTCTTAACTTTGATAAAGAATATCTCTTTGGGTTTGAGACTTTAGTCTTTGCAACTTTAGGGATCTTATCTATTCACGAACAGCTTGTAACACTCCAAAGAGAAAGGAAAACTTGAAATCGCATCATATGACCCCTTTAAACTGTAATTTAACAGCATTCAGAAACACAGGATGTTTCCTGTAAACATCCAGTGTCTCTACAATAAAATTAGCCATGACTTTACTGATGAATAATACAGCAGATATTAAACAGCAGCAATATCACTATCTGTAAATATCTGGTAATCTGTATGACTGTAATTAGAATGCTTTTATACAAAGCTACATACAATAAACTTGCAGTTTTGGTTTTCTTGAAGCAACCATGAGTGTTGCAAGTCACTATATGTTGGTGCCATTTCATCTTCCTTTGAGCCTACTGTACAGCAACCTTCAAAGATTTGACAGTAGCTGTGAGAATTCATAGTGAAATACGATATATCATTTCAGAATACAAGATGGCAGCCTTTGTTTACAGTGATCATATTCCAATATTTAGACTAAATACATACAAACGTTAACGTCTTGTTTTTTATTCTCTTGTTTTGATGACAGTTCCATAATGCTAATCAACTCGCTGCCTGGTGTTTACACCACATCTGCACCCATTACAACAGGATATGTGCCAATTACCGCAAAGAGATCAAGTCGAAATCAGCAGGTAAGAGCATTTCCTGAACAATTATGAGACAGATGCAAAGCGTCACCATTGAAACTGCCTGATTTAAAGCATCTACAGTAACATTTAACTTTGCTTTATGACGTAGAAGTAGCTATGATGAGTACATATGAGTCTTTAAGAGTGTCCTTTTGAAGAGATGGTTCACCCGAAAATTAAATCCACCAAATCCATATGCTTTTAGTTATTAATTTTAATAAATAAATAAAAAAACAAATACAAGTTAATAAAAACTACATAAAATAAAATGTATTAATTATTTATATATATACACACACACACACACACACACACACACTATATTGCGATTAAAATATAACATATAAAATCTTTAAAAAAGAAAAAATAATGCAACAAGTTTCCATATAAACAAAAAAATAACCAACCATTTAAAACTAGCCATTTATTAATCTTAATAAATGTTAATTTTAACATTTATTAATACATTACTAAAATCAAAAGTTGAATAATTAATTAAATAATTAATAAAAGTTGTATTAAATAATGGTAATATTACTTAATGGTAATATTAACATTAATTAACATTAAACAGTTGTATTATTATTAACTAACATTAGCAAAGCTTAATAAATAATGTATCAAATGTACTGCTTATTGTTAGTTAATGCATTAACTACCGTTAACTAATTGAACCTTGCTGTAACCAAATTGGTTATTGGTTGCCAAAATAAAGAAATAAACTTTAACTATTGTTAAAGTGAAAGCACTTTTTTTGCAAAATTCTCACGGTGCTCTTTTATTAACATTTTGAATAAAAATTTTCTGCTCTCACTAATTTTAGTCCATTTTGTTTTGTTTTCATTTTTATTCGTTTTTTTAAATATGTCTATTTAATATTTATATTTTAATTTTAATATAGTTTATATATTTAAAATAATATGTTATATTCTATTTTAATACAGTTTTCATCATTAAGATTTATTTATTAATTTGTTTATTTAGTTAATTTAGTACTTCAAGTCAAATTAATGAGAAATGTTGCCTTGGCAACTAGCTGAAATAAAATAAATTCAGGTTTTGTTTTTTTATTTTTATTTTATTTCATGTATCGATTTTTTTAAATATTTTTTTTATGAATTTGGTTTTTATATTAAATTAACCCTGCTGTGATGTTATTCTTCCTTTTGTAAATAAGTAAAAATCACATAATTTTTTATTTTAGGGGAACAGTTCCTTTAAGAGGACACATTGTGCTTCATGAGCTCTATTGTATATCACTCACCCTTGATATCATTCTGGGCTTGTGTTGTAATGTAAGCAGAAAACCAGGAATATTTTGAGAAGCACCGCTGGCCTCCGGTCTGGTATCTGAAAGAGGAAGATCACTATCAGCGGGTGAAGAAGGAGAGAGAGAAGGAGGATGTGGTGTTGAATAAACATCACTCACGATGGCGCTGGTGTTTCTGGAGCACGTCCCCTGCTGTTGCTTGAGTCCGTACCCTCTTGTTTATTTTTAAAGCTCTTATTTTCCTTTTTTTCTATTTTGCGAAGATGAAACAGGCCACTCTAAATGAGCATTCTGTGTGAAGCACAATGTCTAATCAATGCTGGCCATTGAATCTATGGAGGTGACGTAGGCCTATTCCTTATGGTGTAATATTTGTTTTAATAGTCGAGCTGCTGTGTTGGACTTGGTTGTGATCTGACTGTGTTAGAAGCATAAGAATCTTAAAACACTAAGAGGATTAAGGAGTGTTTTTTCTTGGCTTTCCTTTTTCACTTAGGTGCTATATACTGTATATTTGCATTAACACATTTTCAACTGTTCAGTGAAATCATCTAAGTGGAAAATGCTCATTATGCCACTAATTCTGAGCACACGTATTGATTTGCAAAATTTGCATTGTACAATTCTGCATTCAGGCAAATTTTGGGTAATGTTGTAAGCCTGTTTATTGGACAACTTGTGACCAAAAACTAAGAGCACTTGAGGTTGGGGCTCGCTGTTGATTGTAATATAATGGATGTAGTTTGATCATTGTGATCGTAAGAGCTTACAGCATTCAGCCCTATGTATGAACATCAGGGACAGGAACGCATGGGTCATTCTTCTTATGCAGTACATTTGAACTTTCTCAAAAATGCATGATTGCATTGCTATAAAAGGATATGCTAGACTTTCAGAAATATATTCTGGTAAAACTCAGGCACTTAAAATGTATGAATTATAACTTTACATTTACATTTAGTCATTTAGCAGACGCTTTTATCCAAAGCGACTTACAAATGAGGACAATAAAAGCAGTCAA